TGGGCTGGGAAGGTGGCTCAGTGGTAGAGCACTTGCCTTGCATGCCTGAGGCCCTGGGTTCGATTCCTCAGCACCACATAAGCAAAAAGAAAAAAAAAAGACTTGAAATCAAATTGTATTATCAAGGTAGAATTCTTTTTAAGTAAGATGTTTTCTGTGAATTGCTATATCCGGATAATGTGCTTATGGAATTTTCAAGCCTTTATCCATGGAGAGCCACTTGCCCTTTTGTTGTGTGGTCAGAAGTCATTTATTTTATCATGTGCTTTAATAAATATGTAAGTTCTGTTTTTTATTCAGTAGTGATATTCAGTGTTTGTCAACAATATTTTTCCCTAACTTAAGAAAACAAGAAGCAGCGGCCCAGACCTAGGAAGCCACGGAGGACTAGAAATGAGGAAAATGAGCAGGATGGAGAGTTGGAAGGTCCTGTGATTGACGAGTCTGTACTTTCAACAAAGGAGCTACTAGGCTTACAGCAAGCTGAGGAACGATTAAAGAGGGACTGCATTGACAGGCTGAAAAGGGTAACATCTTCATGCATACATTTGCTAGTTAAAATCCAGGTTTTCAAACTATGGTAATAATTGGAAATGCCTGCCTTAGTGAATGGAGTATTCATTTTTGTTATCAATGTTTAAGTACTACAAGTTGAAAGTTTTTATGATTTAATAGTAAAAATTGCTATTATGCTTAAATAAAAATGACTGTCCCCCATGTTATAACCCCTGTTTTCATTGTATTTGATGTCGGTGCCCTGCATCTTGTATATACACTTCTCTAATGCAGGGAGGGGAAGGGAAAAAACAAAATGCTTAAATAGGGATACAGGTTGACCCATTGTAACAATGAGATGCACAAGACACTATGTTGAAAACGAACTTTACAACTTTGGGGGTGACAGGTAGTTGTAGAGGTGGGAGGGAAGGGATGGTAGGGGAAAAACAAAGGAGGAGGCAATAATGCTAGATAGGAAATGTACTCATTACCTTGCTCATGTAACTGTAACCCCTCTGTACAGTATTTTTACAATAAAAAACATACAAAAAAATAAAATAAAAATGTTAGGATAGTAATGGCCCAAGACAGTATTGAAATAACACTTTTAAAAGTAAAGGGAAAATCTTTTTTTTTTCTGACTAATTTTGTATGTTTGGAGATATATCTCTTTATCAATATTTTCAAACTGTAGCGACCACGGAATTGCCCTACAGCAAAGTACACCTGTAAGCTCTGTGATGTTTTGATTGAATCCATTGCATTTGCCCATAAGCATATCAAAGAGAAGAGGCATAAGAAGAATATTAAGGTGAGTTTGATGTGACCCAAGCAAATGTTTTTACCTATCTGTTACCTTTATAGGTCTCTTCTATAGAGATATATTAATAACTTTAATATTTTATTGCTTTCTTTTAGCCAAAATTCTACTGGTCAATTAAGTTTGCTGGACAGTCTAGTAAATTTCCTTAAGTATAGTTCTAGGTTGTATGTAGAAAGCAATTTCTTGGACCTGAGTAAATGTCTTTGTGTCCATGGCAAAGCAAAGAATCAGTTTATCATTTCTATTTTAGTGTTCTTTTCTTCTGCTGTATCCATGTTCCTGCCTACTCTCTACCGTTGCTATTCAGTGCATACGGTGTGTGTGTTTGATAGGATGAAAATTTAATAGAGCTAAGACAGGCCAAGAAAAGTGTACTAACATTTTGTAGGGTATTGTCTTACTGAAAGATAGAATCTAAAACTATGTTTGAAGTCATTTTTTAATCTTAACATTTGTCTTAAAAGGAAAAACAAGAGGAAGAGTTGCTTACTACGTTACCCCCACCAACACCCTCCCAGATAAATTCAGTTGGCATTGCCATTGAAAAAGTGGTGCAGGAGTTTGGGTTACACAATGAGAACTTGGAACAGAGGATAGAGATTAAAAGTACGATGGGAAGGGTATTCCACCATAAATTACCAGGTATTGTGTAGATTTCTTTCCTCTTAAAGTATGTCTTATTTCAAATAGCATTCACTAAACAAAAATTTGTTGGGGTACTGTGGCTGTAAGACTCTGTGTGTATGTGTGTGTGTTGTTACCTTTCTGCCTACTGAAATTGGCACAGTATCTTTTAATTACATAAAGAGAAGTATTCTGGAGTTATTTTCCAGTTACATGTGTAAAACATGTTTTATTTGAATAGACTTAAAAGAATTTCATACCTACATTGAACTCTGAAAAAAAATTGTATGTAATTTGGAATGCCTTTCATATACTGGCAAATTTATTTTCCAATTTATGTGTGTCTTCTGATTATTTTGAACTTAGATCTTTGGTATGAAGTTGGTGGGCCAAAAATTGAAATAAAATGAAGTGAAATAAAACAAAACTCTGAAAAAGCAAAACCAAAAAAAGAAAAAGATGATGTGAAGCTCTGAGTTTAGACTTTGCTATTGCCCAAATATATGTGTGTATTTTATATACACATATATATGACACATATGTATATAATAAATTTCTATGGCCGTTTGAATTTTTCTGTGGCACACTTTGATCAACTGGGTATGATGATAAATGGTGTGCCTCCCTAGGACAGAATCCTTGAAGTCCAGTTAGTGATTTCCCACATTTATTGTCCATGGTGTGGTGATCACAGATTCTCCCAGCACAGAGCTAGAGCTTATATCACTGAGTGTCTTCACCAGCAGATTTGTTTAATATATAAAAGAACTATAGTAGGCATCAAATAAATTTTTGGTAATTGAGATAAAATTTCAGAAATACTTTTTACTACAAAATTACAGACCTCATTATGATTATTGTTACAGTTAGTATTGATCAGTTTTTATAATTTTACTCCTGAACACATACTCCTCTAACAAAGGACTATAATTACCTGGGCTCCATATAACCTGCTTTCTGCTGTAAACCTTGCTGCTACTATAGTTGGTTGCTGTATCTAATTTATAAGTTGTTTTTAATAGTCAGCAACCACTGGGACTTATCCATGTATTTGCCATTTCTGTTGTAATTTATTCCCTAAACCACATCATAATATTTATCTGATATTACTTTCTTCTTGTATGAATTACAAGCTAGTTTAGTAGTACATTTTGATGTGGATATGAGAGATACAGTTTAGATGGGTATCATTACACAAAATAAAATTAAAGCTACACTAAAAGACAGTTAAGATCAAATGTAGTTAGTACCTTACACAACAGTTGTTAGACCTGGACAGCAGCCAACTTCACCTAAAACCCATTGGCCATTGCTATCTAGGTAAATAATGGTAATAACTTAGCCTGATACTGTGCATCAGAAGTATCTAGGGAGGGCTGGGAAGGTGGCTCAGTGGTAGAGTGCTTGCCTTGCATGCCTGAGGCACTGGGTTCGATTCCTCAGTACCACATAAGCAAAAAGAAAAAAGCCGGAAGTGGCACTGTGGCTCAAGTGGTAAAGCGCTAGCCTTGAGCTGAGGGACAGCGCCCAGGCCCAGAATTCAGGCCCCACAACCGGACCCAAAACAAAACAAAAAAAGAAGTATCTAGGGAGCCATGGACAACAGTTTTAGAAAACTTTTCATCATTTTGATTTAGTCTGGGTTGATACAATTTACTTTAAAGTATCACCTTATAATTCTTGAAAGATCATGGATATAGCATTCGTTTTATATATATAAATATATATATGTATGTATACATACACACACATATGAGGGCAGAAATATTATTTCTTTATTAGAAAAAAAAAGAGATCCAAAGCATCTTTTTAACCTAAATAAATCATATGAATCAGCAAATCTTAAATCTGTTGCTTCCCCTGATGAGAAAAGTTATTTTGATATAATAATAGTAAACCAAGCTGGGCGCCAGTGGCTCACATCTGTAATCCTAGCTACTCAGGAGCCTGAGATCTGAGGACTGTGGTTCAAGGCAGCCCCGGCAGGAAAGTCCATGAGACTTATCTCCAATTAACCACCAGAAAACCTGAAGTGGCACTTTGGCTCAAGTGGTAGAGTGCTAGCCTTGAGCTGAAGAGCTCAGGGATAGCCCAGGCCCAGAGATCAACCACCACAACCAACAAAAATAATATAATAATAATAAATGTAGATCATTGGCAATGCTATATAGAAATACTATATTGATAAATATATGTACATATATCATTTATTGAAGAGGAGATTCCTACTCCCTACCATGTTAAGTTAAATTAGTTATATCATAATTATTTTTGCAAAGGGGATGTTATTTACAATCGAGTTGTTCATATTTTAAAATCAACTTTACAAGGTATGGTGGCAATCATCTTTAATTACTACTCAAACTACTCAGAAGTAGTTTGAGGCCAGCCTGAAGTACACAACAATATCCTGTCTCAAAAATATTTATTTTAAAGTTAACTTTATGTTGAAAGGTAATTTTTATTACTAGTTACTGAGACATATTCTTTAGTATAAGCGATACCTATGTGTGCTTTCTAAAAATTGATTGTTGCAATAGTTGTATAAATTGTCAACTTGCCTTTTTTTTGTTGTTTGTGAGGCTGTGGTTTGCTCTATAGTCTAGACTGACTTTAAATTCATTTTGTAGCCCAGGCTGGCCTTGAACTCTGGATCCTCCTATCTTAGCCTCACTAGTGCTAAGATTACACTCATGCACCACCAGGTTTGGCTTAACTTTCATGTTTCCCTCCAAAATGACTACCACTTGAGTGTTCTGCAAAAAAATGTGAGCATAATAATATAGAAATACTTAACATGTTTTATAACTGACTTGACAAGCTTGACTATTATTAGTAGTACAGCCTTCTCCGTTACATAAAATTGAAGGAGTAGCAATAGCTACCTTTCATACAGTTTTGCTGTGTATGTAGTTTTCCCTTGATCCTATTTCTGTAAGAGAAGTGTTTTATTATATCTTCTGAGAAATTTTACTTTATGATTTGTATATATTTATTTTTAGATTGTTCTCTCAGATTATATGGGTCTTCCTGTAGCCGACTGGGTTTCAAAAATTCAGATGTCAACATTGACATTGAATTTCCAGCTACTGTAAGTATAAAACAGTATAGATTTGTAGATATTTATGATTTAAAAGTGTAATTAGCTCTTGAGTTTCCTCTTTTATATACCATGTTTAATAAGAATACTTATGCTTTTCCTTTTTGGTAATTCTAGGCTTTGAATTAAAAGCCTTTTGATTCTAGAGACACACTCTCATCTTAAGCTACATCCCCAATTCTTTTTATGCTTTTGTTGTTTTTCAAATAGTGTCTTGCTTTTTTCCTGAAGCTGACCTTGGATAGGGAACCTCTTGTCTCTGCTGGGATTGTAAGCATGTACCACTACATCCAGTCGAATTAATGTGCTTTTATTTTACATAAGGAATGCTTTACAAATTGAAATGTCATTCTTGCATACAAGCCATGCTGATTTTCTCTTATTATTCCCAGTTTAGTAAGTGCTTCCAAAGGGAACACTAATCATTATGCTTTTAAATAGCTATACCTAGCCAGGATTTCTGTCTTACACATCATTCAGAAAGATATGGATGAGTCAGAATTTTAAAACTCAAAGAACTTAAGTATGTTTGTCCATTTACCCACTGGTGGTTTCCACAGTCATTTTAGCTACTTGTGAAAATGCAGATTCCAAAGTTCCACCCCAAAATGTCTGTTTCATAGCATGTAATTCCCTACTATACCTGACTGCTGTAGCTACCTGATCAGCCATTCAGTAATTTTTTACTCTGATTATTTTTTATCCTTTGGCTGTATTAATGCTTGAACTCAGCCTCATACTTGCTAGGTAAGCTCATTATCGCTTGAGCTACACCTTCAGCCCAGTTTCTTTATTATTCTAATTTTAAATTCAGATCAATGATTTACCAACCATAGCAGTTGTTTTAATTTTGAACCATTCATTCATTTAACAAATGTTTACTAAATCCTTGTTGCATGGTAGGTACTCTATTGGATATAGCTCCTCTTTGACAGAACTCTCATAGCTAGTAAAGAAGATAAGTTTTCCATGTCATCATTATTTTTTACAAGACATTAAATTTTTTGATGAATATAGGGTATATTCATTTATTGGCTTCTTTTTACAAATAGTTTTATGAAATTTTTTCTTTTTCTTTAAACAAAGTTTTATTGTTATTATAATGGTGATATACAGAGGGGTTACAGTTACGTAAGTCAGGTAAAGAGTATATTTTTTTTTTTGGACACTTGTCACCCCTTCCCTCTCATCCCCCCACCCATAAGTTGTAAAGTTCATTTTTAACATAGTGTCCAGTGAGTACCATTGCTGCATTTGTTCACCCTTTGTTCCTCCATTTCTGTGCCTCCCCTTATACTCCCAAAGACATATAAACTAGCAACCAAAAACCATCAAAAGAGAAAAAAAAAACTCTGTTCAGGTCAAATATTTTTACTAATCTGATTCAAAAAAATTTCAAAACAGCAAAAATAATTTATGACTCCCATAAATTTTTTTTTGGGGGGGGTCCGGTCGTGGGGCCTGAACTCTGGGCCTGGACGCTGTCCCTCAGCTCTTCAGCTCAAGGCTAGCGCTCTACCACTTGAGCCACAGCGCCACTTCCGGCTTTTTTTTTCTGCTTATGTGGTGCTGAGGAATCGAACCCAGGGCCTCATGCATGCAAGGCAAGTGCTCTACCACTGAGCCACCTTCCCAGCCCCCAAGATTATTTATTTTTATAATCATGCTCTATTCCCTTTTTCTTCCTGTGGTAAAGAACAGTGATTTAATGGAAAGATGTCCAAGAAGTATTTAACTTCAAAAAGATGAAGTGTTTACAATGCTTATTTTTTTGTCATTTTCTTTTTTTGCAAAGAGAGAAAGACTAAGAAACTTTTCTTTTCTTTTGCCAATCCTGGGGCTTGAACTAAGAGCCCAAGTGCTGTCCCTGAGCTTCTTTTGCTCAAGGCTAGCACTTGAGCCACTTGAGCACTTCTGGCTTTTTCTGTTTATGTGGTACTAAGAAATTGAACCCAGGGCTTCATGCACGGTAGGCAAGCACTCTCCCACTAAGCCACATTACCAGCCCAAAAACTTTTATTTGTATTTGTTTGGTTACTCATAAAGTAACTCTAGAAGTACATATAAGAAATGAAAATCAGTTACAGTTGGGAAGATGAAGAATGAAGTGGGAAGATCATACTATGTCTTTTAATATACATCTTCCATATTAGGTATGTGTGTGTATATATATACACTTACATATTCACATATATATTCCAGGACTGAAATTCATATTGCTTAAGTAGTTAAAAGTAGACAAAGTTAACTGATAATTTATGTATAAAACAATGTGAGCTATGTGTGGTGGTACCAACCTATAATCCCAGCTAAATTAGGAAGATAGAGAATTTGAAGAAGAAAAGCCTGGGTTACACAAAGATATACTTTCTCAAAACAAAAGAAAAATCAGTATGAAAAATCCTGCATGACCTGTTTCTCAGATAATTTGGTTATCTTTCAACTTGTTCAAGAAGCCAAGCTAACTAGCAGCTTTTATCATCTGTTTACTTTTTTTCTGAATAGATCTTAAAGTATTATAAACATCTTCACTGGTCTTCTCAACATTTTTTTAATCAAGGAAACCAAGTTTAGAAGTAGTATACACAAGCAGGAGCTGGTAGCTCATTCCTGTAATCCTAGTACTCTGGAGGCTGAGATCTGAGGATGGTGATTCAAAGCCAGCCTGAGTAGGAAAGTCTGTGAGACTCTTATCTCCAATTAATCACAGAAAAAGCCAGAAGTGGCACTGTGGATCAAGTGGTAGAATGCTAGCCTTAAGCAAAAGGAGCCCAAGGACAGCATGCAGGCCCTGAATTCAAGCCCCAGAACCAGCCAAAAAAAAAAAAAAACAGCACACACAGAATGAAGACTATTCCTTAGAGTCCCCAAATTAGACCAAGTCTACAACTATCTGAACCCAGGAGAGAAAGTATGTGTTCACATTCAAAAATTGAGCAAGTGTAAGATGAGCAGATCATCAAAGACACTTTGAGAAGGTCGGCTGTTAGCATCTATTTTGATATTGTGGTATTTCATAGGACATTGCACATTCAGAGTATCATTTTCTTTCAGCAAGGGAAAAGAGTTGTGCAGCAAATCTCCATTTCTGGCTTTTTTTTCTGGTTAATTGAAGATAAGAATCTTTCAGATTTGTCTGCATAGGCTGGCTTATATCTCAGCCTCTTGAGTAGCTAGGATTTCAGGCTTGAGTCTGGGTAGCTAAAGGCTGCAGCTGGCTGGTGTTTACTCCAATTGTGTTTGCAAGATTACCAACCTCCAGTCAGAAGAAGGCAGCAGAAAAGCATGGCTGCCAGAAAGCTGGAGCCAGCATTGCCACACTTATTAATTATAAGGAGAGCTATACCTGAAAAAGAAGTTCCATATGGCAGAAAGCAAGTTCTGGTCTGAGATTTAGCAGTCATGAAGGCCTCTTTGAAGGGTAAACATTTAAGTAAATTAGACTGGAAAAGTAGGCCTGGGTTCAACATGCAAGATTTTACAGATTATGCTAAGAATTTTACTTTGGCTAAGGTAGTAAGTCATTGAGAGTTTTAAGGGTCCAGTCTAAAATTTTAAATGATTTTGATCCCATTGTGGAACGAGGATTGGAGAAAAACTGAAGAAATAATGCAGTTAGACCATTAAGTTAGCAATTACAATAGCCTTGCAGAGTGAGAGGTAATATTATTAGCAATGTGAAAACTTCCACTTTTAGATTTGTTGAGAGATACCAACCTGGAGAATTAACTCATCAGGAGTAAATTATGAGGTGGGTCTCTTGCCTACATTCACACTCATTTGATGCTCATCTGTCTTCTTTTGAATATTGTATACATACAGCATAATGATTCATTTCATTACTGTAGTAGCAACATGTATTTCTAATTTGAAAAGCCATTTGAGTAGCTTCTGGCTGTATATTATACCAGCAAAATCAAAATATTTAGGGGTTATTTCATGTATTCATTCATTTATTTCCTAGATGTCTCAACCAGATGTCCTCTTACTTGTACAAGAATGTTTAAAGAATAGTGGTAAGGCTAAATTCTTTGCATACTTTGCTATTAAAGATTTTTTCTTGTCTCTAAATTATCTTATTATTAAAATCTGAAAATTAGACATGTTTTAAAATTTGTTTTTATAGGTAATATTCAAGGCAAATGCAATGAATTATCAATAGATTATCTTCTTAACTACTTCTATGAATAAACTAGTTATCACTAGTTGACTAGTTATTAAGTAATAGTTCTATGAATTATTCTTGAGTAATCATTTCAAAGCAAACTTTTAGATTGATGGTAATATAAAGAATACCTGAGTAGGGCTGGGAAGATGGCTCAGTGGTAGAGTGCTTGCCTTGGATGCATGAGGCCCTAGGTTCGATTCCTCGGCACCACATAAAAAGAAAAGGCCAGAAGTGGTGCTCAAGTGGTAGAGCGCTAGCCTTGAGCTGAAGAGCTGAGGGACAGCACCCAGGCCCAGAGTTCAGGCTCCACGACGGACCCCTTCCCCCCAAAGAAAAAAGAGGAAGAAGAAAAAAAAGAATACCTGAGTAATATAAAGAATCAAGCTTTTAGCTTGATGGTTTATAAAGAATACCTAGTCCCAGAATGTAAGAAATCCAGTGTATGGAATTACTCTTTAAGGTTAAAGCTAAAAGATAATCTGCTTTTTTCAGTGGTCTAAATCAGTACATTACAAATGGTAAATAGGTGTGACCCAAACCTGATTAATGAACTATCAAGAAATTCTCATGGATGATCTATCGACTGTTTTGTCCAATATACTTTCCAGCTCCAGTCTGAATGAGATTTTCTTTTTGCCTCATCAGACTGTCTCATCTCTTAAATTAGGCATTACTGTCCTTTTTGGTTGAGTAAAACATTTAAGCATTTTGTCTTATATATCAGTCTACACATATTTCAACACTAATCATTCTAGTAGTTTTGGTATCCGTTTTGGTTCTAGATCTTCATATTTTAATTACATTATCCACATAACATTTAATTATTGCAATCCAATAATGTAGTCACTTTTTTTTTCATTTTCTTTTCTGTTTGTACTGATACTGGGATTTGACCTTAGGGCATTTCACTTGTTCAGCCTATGCTTTGCCACTTTAGCCATGCACCCAGTTCTGCTTTTATATGGTTATTTAGATGATGGAGTCTTGTGGACTTTTTCTAAAGTCTTGTGAACTTTGTGTGTGTTTGAACTCTGATATTCTGACCTCAGCCTCCTTGAGTAGCTAGGTTTCTAAGAGTGAATCACTGGCATCTGGCTGATGTAGTCATTTTTAATCAGACATTAGCTTTGCAAAATAAGGATTTTAAATTAATACATTTACATTTTTTTTTAGTGTGGAGGCAGGGTGTTATATAACTTAGGCTGGCTTTAAACACTTTTAGTAGTGTTCTTCCAAAAGGCTGAACAGATAAGCTACAACAGGCACTCATACTTCATGTGTAGCTCAGCTATAAACAAAGCTTTAATTAACCTATTTAATATTTTTCTCTTCTTTCCTCAGACTGCTTTATTGATGTTGATGCAGATTTCCATGCTAGAGTGCCTGTGGTGGTATGCAGAGAAAAGCAAAGGTCTTAGTTTCTTTTAATTGTTTATTAACTATCAATTTGTAAAAAGCACAGGTACTTTGCTAAACCTTAACATCCAGCTTCTAAAACTGTAAGCTGTTAATATGGTTGTCTCTTATAAGTTCTGCAAACATTTTTCCTTATGGTTTTCTGCAATATGGAGGATATCTTTTATTTTAAAAAGGATAAAAATAGTTAAAAGGAAATCAAAAAACTTTTACAAACATGAGACAAGTTATGCTTTCATTTGAATTTAAGTGAAAAAACTGGAAAGGTATTTATTGTCAGTGTAATTTTTCTATTTGTTGCTATAATACCTATGTAACACCTTTTTCTTCCTTTTTTTGTTTTCCATCTTTATCCTTACCCCTACCAGTGGTCTTCTTTGTAAAGTGAGTGCAGGAAATGAAAATGCTTGTTTGACAACAAAGCACCTAACTACGCTTAGAAAACTGGAACCAAAGTTACTTCCTTTGGTTATTGCCTTTAGATACTGGGCAAAGGTAGGTTTGAGTTCTTTTTATGTATGAATACATTCTGGGTGTGCATAACTACTATGCTTTTATTATTACTAGGTTAATATAATTTTGTATGATATGATGCCTATTTATAGGCATCTAGTAAAAAAGCATGTGAATATTGGTTAGTAACTAACAAATACAAAAGAATTCAGGCTTTCTGTTTCACTGTAACACAAAAGATAAAACATTTTTAAAATACTTACTAAGAATAAGTTTTGAAGAACTGGGGGCGACATGGCTTAAGTGGTAGAGTGCTAGCTATGAGGTACAAGGCTGAGCTAGCAGTAGGTTCTGAATTTAAGTGCCAGTGCCAACCCCTCTCCCTCACACCAAAAAGAAAAAGAAAAAAAAATCAATTTTGGGTCATATCCCAAAGGATGTCACCCAGTAATTTCCAAAGTATATGTTAAATACATGACGTTTGAAATAGAACTTCTCACATATTTCCCAACAATATTACTAAGAGACTCGGAAAAAAAAGAAAGATATTGTCTGGCCTTACTTTCATTTCCATAAAGTTTTAAGCTATCCCAGTTAAAATGCTCCAGTAAATCTTAAGAGCATTTACTATTACTCCAAAATATAAGTCCATATCTGATTATGAAATTAGCTAGACATGGTAGTGCATGTCCATAATCCAGAACTTTGAAAGCAGGCGGATTTAGCCTTGGCTATAGTGAATTTGATGCCAACCTGCAATACAATGACTCTGTCTCAGAAAAAAGAGAGAAAGAGACTCTGTAAAGTACCTTATAAAAGCTTTATTGATTATGATATAGTAATATCAATAGATATAAAAGTTTTCAGGGTGAGTAGAAGATGCTCCACTCTTAACTAAATGAATTATTCCCCAGTTTGTTGACTCTTAACTAAGTGAATTATTCCCCAGTTTGTTGATTGTTGTTTTGTAGTACTGGTGGTTGAACCTAGAACCATGATCTCATGCATGCTGAGAAAGTTGAGTCATACCCTCAGCCCTACAATATGCCATTCATTGAAAACTCTCAGTTCAGTGGTATAGAATTCTTCTAGTATGTGCCTAAGCTCTAGATCTAATCGTCAACACTGAAAGACTAACAAAAAATATTGGTTAAATTGAAAACCCTTTCCTTTATCACTAGATGGACCATACATGTTTCCATAACATGAATTTGCTCACATTCTGTCTAAATTCCTTCATACCAAATGGTACATTTGCATGGCTGTAAAATGACTTACAGTGAAAAAAAAATTTGGCTTATGATGAACCAATTCATAATTTTCAGGATTATTTTGAAGTTAACTGTATGTTTTAACCAATTGAGTGGATTTATTATAGATATTTTTAAAAACCAAATAGCAAACAATACTTTAGGGCCTTCCCCAAATAAGTTCTGTCAACAAGATTATGTATTTGAAACTAAAACTGTCATTCAAAATCACAATGTGTGTTTGTTGCAAAACTTTAAGGAACTTTTATAGTTGTTTATTTTGTTACACTGCTGTGGTTGAGGACAGCGATGGGAATGCTACCCAGGTCCCAAGTTAGCCAAGCATTCTGATTTATAGCCTCCAATCATGCTGTTTTGTTTAGAAGAATCAAGAACTATTACTGTCTTTTGATACTCATATCTTAATCAGTAAAGCTTTTATAATACACTTTATAGCCTCTCTCTCTCTCTCTCTCTCTCTCTCTCTCTCTCTCTCTCTCTCTCTCTTCTACCTGAGATAGGGTCATTATATCCCAGGATGACATCAGACTTACTACAGCCATCTATAACTTCATGTTTCAGATTTGGGACAAATTGTTCAATTTGCTACAAAAAGAATACTGATGTTCTTTTGTCTCATTTCTAGCTTTGCAGTATAGACCAACCAGAAGAAGGAGGCCTTCCACCATATGTATTTGCCTTGATGGTCATTTTTTTCCTTCAACAAAGGAAAGAACCTCTTTTGCCAGTATATCTAGGATCATGGGTATGAAACATCTTTCCTTATATATTTGATAAGTGATTTTATTATAGATCTACTCTTAGGTGTGTAGATTTTATTTTATCTATAGATTTTATTACAGATGTTTGTGCATAATCACAAAATTTAAAAACTTGAATAGAACTAAAATAGATTTATTTATATTACTGGCATAAATATTCAAATTTTTCATTGCTGAAATATTAATATTTTAATTACAAGATGCTGCCTTATACCTCATTAGGGAGAAAGTAACTTTCTGTGATATAGTCTTCTGTGGACTTGAGGGGGTTCAGACAAAAGACTGAACTTGTCTTAAATTTATTGAGTTATTCTTTGTTTAAGCTTTCTAATTTGATAGCTAAATGTTTATGTCTTTAGAATGAAGGAATCATTTGATTCACCGTAAATTATTAATTATTGAACAGGCAAACTATATTGCCTTTGATGCCTCAAATTCATGTGCTCAAGTGATTTCTCTGCCTCAGCCTTGTAAAAAGCTAAGACCACAGCACTTTGTATATCTGTTTATTTACTTTTTATGTCCCATAATAAGTAAAAACAAGACAGAGATTATAATTTATTCTGGAAGATATAGACATAAATATTTGCTTCGTGGGCAATAATTTGATACTATCTTTAAGATGAATTATACTTCAGCATAGAAAACTACTGTTAATTCTAGATAAATTAAAGTTGAGTTGATTTGTTCAAGTAAGATTTTAAAAAGACCGGGCGCTGATGTCTTATCCTTGTAATCCTAACTATTCAGCAGACAGATCTGAGGATCACAGTTTGAAGCCACCAGGCCAGAGAGTTTAGCTTCAATTAACCACCAGAACACCCAAAGTAGAGCTGTGGCTCAAAGTGGTAAAGCCCTAGCCTTCAGCAAAAATGCTCAGGAACAGTGCCCAGGCCCTGAGTTCAAGGCCCACAAAAAAGGCCTAATAAAAAGATTTAAAAGCAAGCAATCCAAAAAGTCAAAAGGATGTTATCCTCCTTTAAGAAGATTCTAATCTTGACTTGGTGGTGCATGCCTGTAATCCTAAAACATAGGACACTGTAGGAGGAGAATTTTAAGTTCAAAGTCTGGGCTATGTAGTGAGACCTTGTCTCCAAAAGAAATTTTCTGGTATTAGTGGTTCATATCCTCATACCAAAATATATATGGGAGGTGAAAGAAGGAGAATTGCTCTTCCAGGGTAGCCCACACAGAAACATCTGTCACACTGTTTCAGTGGAGGGAAGCTGAACATAGTGGTTCTTCCTGTGGTCCCACCAACTAAGAGAAGCCTAAAGAAGTCAGATCATGGCTGAGACATGAGCCTGAGCAGGATGTGAGAGCCTCAGTGAATACTCAAGGGAGAGCACTAATTTAGCATGTAAAGGCCTCAAGGTCAGAACATGTTGTGGGTCTTTTTTTTATTTGGTGTGTTTTGAATATTAACTCAGTTTATCCCTGTCTTTTCATTATCTTTTACCTCCAACAATAGTATTTTACTAGTTTTTTTTTAGTTGATGTTATTTAGCAGATCTATGTATTATATAAACAAATCTCTAGCAAATAGTTATTCATACTTTTGGCCAAATGGTAGAAAAATGAGTAGCTTTAAAGTTTATTAGTCCTGGAGCAGTGTTCATCTAAGTTTTGTTTGCCACTTGACTTTGAGCTAGTTGATCTCTAAGCCTCTAGGTTTTTCTGAAGCTCAAATGAGATCATGCATACAAAGCTTTTCCTATAAGGTAGGAAAAAAATGTTCAAGGGGTAGAATGCTTGGCTAGGAAGCATTAACCCTGAGTTCAAATCCAAATACCACCAAACAACAGTAATAATAACAAAATTGTGTCAATATCCACTTACATTATAGAGATGTAAACTCCAAACCAAGGGATTCTTCTCAAATATCAGCTAATAAGTTAGACAGAATATAAAATCATGTTCTGGGGACTAAACCAAGACAAACTTTGGTGGAGAGTCAAAACTTGGAACCAGGGATTGATAGTTACTTTTATCTGATTTGCCCTGAAGCTAACTGATAGGAAGATCATTCCTCTTTATTCATAGGCCTAGAGAGAGCTACCTGAACTTAATAGGAGGTAAAATAAAAGAAAGGATACAAAGAACTAGACCATTATTAATGTATAAAAGCCCAGCACATTTCCCTTAACCTCCCGAACCAGATTAAGTGTAACATGGAAGGATCATAGAAGTCTTCACACTTGCCCTCACAAGAAAAAGCCAAATCAACTAAAACCACAGTTTTTATAGATGCATCAGACATTTAAGGTCTAGCTGCTGCCTCAGTAACTAGGGAGCAGGCTAATACAGTAATCCGTAGCTGACAGATCAGAAGCCCTAAATCTTTCCACCAGGGTAGAGCCATATAAGAGTAGAAATATATAAAGACATAATTGACAGATTGCTGGAGGAATAGTTTGACAAGGTGAAAAGTTAACACCTACTTCAATTCAGTAGTCTGCTCCCTGAAGTGAGTGAAGTTAGGAAGGTTTGAGCTGGTGGCCACTTTTGCCTTCCCAGAATAACACTTAGACCCTTGTGAAAATTTTGAAGATAACTTTTTCTCAGATGTAACACACTTCAAATATTATTATTTTATTATTATTATTATTATTGTTAAATTTATTATTTAATTGTGAAAAAGTCATACAATGGTTAAATTAAAAATACCTATTGAAAATCAGTTGTTCTTTGATTGGGACCTAACCAGGGCTTACCATATGGAATAATTCTTTTGCCTGAGTGTCAAGAAATAGGAATCTTCTTCATTAGATGGTTATTGTCCTCATCTTGCATTATGAAGATGATGTACAATATTTTCATTTACTCATTTATTTACTTACCTTTATTAGCATATATTAAAGATATGTTACATAACAAATAGTGAAAGTATTCTAAATATAATTTCATTAGTTAAGTTTTGAAAAAAATTTAAACATCAATTTTTACAAAAAAAAAATTTATGGGGGGGAGGGCGGAAATCTCCTAAACTTTTGTGAAACTTCCCTCTAGAAATTCTACTATGTTTTGAGGTCAAGAATTGGAGAAAACTTCTAGCTTGGTGAGACAAAATGTAGAAAAAAAAATCCTACAGGCCTTGAGCATTCTTTTAATAAAAGCCTTCCCTCAGGAAATACTTATTAAATCCTGTGGTTTAATTCATCCACCTAGGGGATTAATAATATGTGTGTACCCTCCAACTTCCTCATCTAAGCAGGGGACCAGATGGGCAGAGAAGAGCTAAGAAGTACTTCAAGGAGTCATAGTCTTAGAGCACAGATTCTCTAAAGGACAGACCTAATCTCTAAAGGTGTTCCCTTTTCTAAAAACATCCTATCAGCAAGGCTTCTATATAGTAGAATCACAATGGTAAACTGTCCCAGAACTTATAAAAGTACTCTCTAACTAAAGGCATAGTCAACCTGTGAGTTGAAAATAAGGACATCAGAGAATTTTTAGCCTCCTGAAGTCTACAACTACAAACTACTAAGTTTTAGTGAACATAAAACATTAATGCATAAAGCCTATTTACATGAATTTCATAGAAAGAGAAAAAAGGTATATGGCAAAAAAGAAAATATCTGAGAATTGTAGGGCAGTTACTCAAGGTTGTAATGAGTGGGTAGCTGAAATATGAAAAAAAAAAAAGAGGAAGGTATTTGAGGTAATAATGATAGAATATTCCAAAATTAGACTCTTAAACCATGTGTGGCCGGGCGCCAGTGGCTCACGCCTGTAATCCTAGCTACTCAGAGGGAGGCTGAAATCTGAAGATCACGGTGGAAAGCCAGCCCAGGCAGGAAAGTCCATGAGACTCTTATCTCTAATAAACCACTAGAAAATGGGAAGTGGCGCTGTGGCTCAAGCAGTAGAGCACTCACCTTGAGCTGACAGTGCCCAGGCCCAGAGTTCAAGCCCCGTTACTGACATAAAAAAAAAGTGTTTGGGGACTGAATATAGGAACTGAAGCTTTAAAGAACTGCTCTAAACCAGATATAGTCTTATTTTCTACAAAAATACCCTTTATTTATCTCAGATATTCTATAAATGATGTCTTATTTATTTGCATTCATAATTTATACATTATGAATATATTAGCCTTTCGTTCCTTCAGTGATTTTTAATGTGCTATAATTGCCACAAAATGCATGTACCCTGTAATAACATTTATGCAATTTTTCCTAGATTGAAGGATTTTCATTAAACAAACTAGGCAATTTCAATCTTAAAGACATTGAGAATGACTTCGTGGTCTGGGAATATACTGATAATGCTACAGGGGACATAAACACAGCGAAAGAAGAGACACCGAAAGAAATGCCAGTTAAGAGGGGACAGGTCTGCTTTCTCATTTCTAATTATACTGTTGGTGCTTTATTTCATTTGTCAAATGTAGAATTTATGTGTTGATTAGTCTTCCTACTTCAGTGTTTAACCATCTTTTAACTATTTTTTTTATTTCTTCTGTCATATCCCAAGCCCTCCTTTTACTGTGGTGTTTTTTCTCTTTCCCTAAATTTGTCCTTATGAAACTGACTTATTTCACTTAACATGATGATACCAGTTCTGTTCATTTTCCTGCCAGCAAAATTATTTCATTCTTTATAGCTAAATTAAACTCCATTGTATTTATATGATACCATGTATTTCTTTATCAGTTCATCCCTTTATGGGTACCTAGGGTAGTGATTCCATAATTTAGCTATTGTGAATGGCATAAGGTGATAAATATGGATATGTTATCTCTATAGGAAGTTCACTTTGATTCTTTAGGCACATACCTAGCAGTAGCTAGATCATACAGTAATGTTTAATTTTTTGAAGACCCTCCATGGTATTTCAGGACTATTCCATTCCCTAGTTGATTTAGTACTTTCCAAAGAAAAGTAGTGAGAAAACGTTTTTTTAAAAATTTAGATAATTAAATCCATTTATTGATATGATTTCTTCTGCATATGGAAACTTATTAAGAATTGAATGGTAAATAAATCCTTATATATTCTGAAAAGAGCTTAGGCCTTACATGGTATTATTTGGTTTAAGTATATAGAACGTTAACCACATTATTAAAATAACAGTAAACAAATACATGATTAAATGTACTGTTCCCATATTGTTGGGAGTGCAGAGTTATTTGCACATAAATTGTCATTGGAATTTCAAGCGAAAATTTGTTCCGTGTAATTTTATACTACTACTACTTCTAAGACACTGTCTCATTGGTGAATGATCTGAAATTTCATGACCTTCTCTTAACCCTTTGGAGTAAAGTATCAACAACTGCCACAAAACACTTATGAGACAACTATTTTAATTATAGCTCTACTTTGACAAAGTCATGTACTTGTCCACGGTTTATTCATGCCTAAAATGAAAGACAGTGGTAAATCATAGATGCTCCAGTAGCATTTTCTAGAATCTTTAAGTATTAGGGGAAGAAGGGAGAGGTGCTACATCATCTTGTTTTCCATTATAACAGCTCCACTTAGGTTTTCTATTTGATGATCCAGTCCAGACTGTCTGAGTTTTTATCCCAGCTCTCCCACTTCCTAGCTGTGTGTCCTTGGGCAAGTTACTTAATTTTTATGGGTCCCAGTTTCCTCCCTACAAATGGGGATAATATTGGTACTCCCTCATAGGGTCATTGATTTATAGAATGTTTAACTCAGTGCCAAGCACTCAATGAGCACTCAGTAAATGTTAGCTTCTGTTCTTAATTTATTCAAAAAGGAAATGTTCTCTACCTTTAAAAGCCAGTTTGAGTGCTAGTAGTTGAGTGCTGGTCGTTTACACATTTAAAATGTCTTTTATATAAAGTTCCATGTTCTAGTATTTTCAAGTCATTTCAGTGAGATGCTTAAAAATATCTTCTGTAAAGCTGAAAAGGGCTGTGTATAAAGAGATGAAATTTAATAAAGATCTAATTCCTGGAGGTTTTCTTTATGTCCTCAACTGTACTGTTTGGGACCTAGACAACTTCCATTTTCATCACTTCTGAATTGACAGAAGAATTCTAATTGAGATTTACTAATTAATGAAATACTATACCACTTATTTGAAATGTGATGTGAGAAAGTATGATTGGAGACAAATTTGTCTTAAACTTTCTTTCAGTACAAATTATAGGAATAATGTGAAGAAAAGGTCCATTTAATGTTTTCTTTTAATGCTATTTGGAGAGATTTCATTATGTTGCCACTACTGAAATTATGTGAGTTTTAGACATTGTAAAAGTTGCATGTGTCATAACAAAGCACTGGCTGGAATCAGATTTTATTCTTCCACCGGCAAGCAGTACAATCTACTGACAAGCCACAAAAACTCTTGGGGCTTTAGTTTCTTCTCTTGTAACATATGGGAGTTGAACTAGATTACCTCTAAGAGCATCTTATAGTTGTGACCTTGTGTTTCAATGATATTTTGAATTTCTTTTACTTAAAAAAAAACTAACTGAAAAAGTACAGAGAGCAACCACGTCTGCCAGATGCTTTCCCTTGTTTCTCATTTAATCCTCATAACTATCCTGTGTTATAGGTGGTATCATCCCTACTCTGCAGATAATGATAGCGACCATTTTTTGAACATTGTGTGCCAGGCACTGTGCTAAGCACTTTACAGATACTATCTCACTCAGTCCTCCCAACAACCCTATGAGGTGGGTACTATTATCCCCGTCTGTCAGATGAGGAAGCTAAGTTTTAGACAGGTTATAGACCTTGATGAAGATCATACACAGCTAGAACTTGGTAGAGTTTGGGTTTCAAAACTAAGCTTATCCCAATTCAAAAGCCACTGTGATGCACTATCAATGAATGTGCTGAGTTGCAGAGCAATTAAGAGCTCTGGAGTGGCAGAATTTCTATTGGAATTTGAGTGCTTTTCAGTGTACCAAATGTGCTTAAATTTGTCAAAAGTCTGTGACTGTAAAAACAGAGTTTGTTTTTTGTTTTTTTTTTTTAACTTTAAAACTAGTGACCACTAACAGATTTAGTGTGGTGATATAGGCTATCTGGGCTATGAGAAGAATTTTTTCTCCCTTTTCTCTATGCCTTTAGCTACTGTCCTTTTCTGGATTTCTATCTGCACCTGTAACGTTATGCTTTAGCAGCAGTAACAGAAAGAGGTCCATGCTGAGCACATTAGCAACCTATGCAGGGGCTGCTCTACCTGTTACTATGACTTCAAAACCAAATATGCTCTCTGGTTAGGTAAAATGGATCTTCTAGTTCCTGTGATAATATCTAGATTTTAGCAAAGACTGTAATTGAAGTGTTATTATTTAACTGCAAGCAAAATAGAATATAGCATTTGATTTATCAGGATTGATTGTCAAATTTATGTCTTTGCTAAGTTTTTTAAATTTTTGTTTGAATGATCTTTCATTTTTTTTAGGTTGAGCCAGCATTTGAAATAACTTGTGTTTCTCTTTGCTGTTTATAGGTGCCATTAATGTTTGATACAAAACATCAGCCTTCAGTGCCAGTTGGGCAGCTCTGGGTGGAATTGCTGCGATTCTATGCTTTAGAATTTAATTTGGCTGATTTAGTAATAAGTATTCGTGTCAAAGAATCTATATCTCGGGAATCAAAGGATTGGCCCAAAAAAAGAATTGCTATTGAAGGTATCTCAAGCTGTTTAATCCACCCCTTCACTTTCTAAGAGGTGCCACTCTGACAGCATGCTTTTCATTTCAGTCTCTTTTCAGTTCCTAAGATAGACCTATTTTAAAGGTGAATTAAATATTACAGTCTTCTTTGTGTTACATTGGGTCATTCCAAGAGACCAGAATGTTCACTCTTGTTTTTTAAGTTCCACAATGAAATAATTATTATGCAGCTGGAATAATGATTAGCTGAGTCCTTTGTAAATTTCTTAGCAAGTTAAACAGTTATAAAGCCTTTTCCTCAGCTGTTTGTGAGTGTTCCTTTCCTCTTTACTGTCCTCACTTTTGTATTTCTAAATTCATCATTCTATAGGTTGCTGTTGCTGTTTAGTTTTGCAAAGATAATGAAAATAACTTTTGTCATGAAAAAATGACTTTCGTAGGGCTGGGAAGGTGGCTCAGTGGTAGAGCACTTGCCTTGCATGCCTGAGGCCCTGGGTTCGATTCCTCAGCACCACATAAGCAAAAAGAAAAAAGCCGGTAGTGGCACTGTGGCTCAAGTGGTAGAGTGCTAGCCTTGAGCTGAAGAGCTGAGGGACAACACCCAGGCCCAGAGTTCAGGCCCCACAACCAGACCCAAAAAAAAAAAAAAAAATGACTTTCTTAGTTGGATTACTTTTCAGTAGAGGGATCAGATAGTTGTCATTAAAATGGAAAGAAACTAACGATAACCACTCCCTTTAGTGACGTCTGTTTAACTGAAACCACTGTACTATATAAATGTCAATAAGTGGACTCTAGTTCTTCTCAGCTTTGCAAATTCAGGTGTTTGAAATACCTAGAAACCTTACTTTTCTTCCTTTTGATATTTCAAAGGACCTCCTAAATGAAATTCTTTTTTTTTTTTTGCTTGATTTTTTTTCAAGCTTTATGTTGCACTAGAGAGGGTTTTTTGGTTTTGGTTTTGGTTTTGGTTTTTTTTGCATTTTGCATCAATTCCTTATGCAGTCATGGGGATCTCACGTTTTTAAACCCTCCCCTGCAGTTTCTCTGGCTCAGCTCTTCTGGCCAATTGCCTAACCTGCTGGAGTTCTAGGGGAGGAAAAAAGATTGAGAGAAGTGGTGTCTCCTCCCGGTGTCTCCCTCTCACCCCTGAAACTCAGGCCAAGCAATTCAGTGATGGGGCTTTCCAGGTCAGAAGAGTGGAGGTAAGCGTGACACCGCAGGCCTGGCTGAGTGGGAGCAGAGCACTCAGCAGGAAGCCTGTCAGAAAGACCTGATTTCCCCAAGGTGTGAGAGCCACATTCATGAAGTTATTCCCACCTCCTCAGTTATAGAGCGGAAATATGGAAGGGGTCCTGGTAATGAACAGTATGGGTTCTCTTCATAGAGCCTATGTTAAGAAAGCATTGGTGGTTTTGGTCCTAAACTGAATCTTCTTGTTCCCTGCCCATCATCCTCATTTTTAAAAGCATAAGATATGTGTTAAATTTTACTGTTGTTTATTTGTTGTCTGCTTTTGTACTATTAATAGATTAAGGTTTAAAGCATGAAGTACATATATATGATGTGGTGAATCTTTCTCATTACAGATCCCTACTCTGTTAAAAGAAATGTGGCAAGAACTCTAAATAATCAACCTGTGTTTCAATATATACTTCATTGTTTAAGGACAACATATAAATATTTTGCTCTTCCACACAAAGTTACAAAATCCAGCCTTCCAAAGCCTCTAAGCCCTAATACATGCATTTCAGAACATTCTACAGAAACAACAAATCATGATCCAGATATCCAAGCAAAAGATGATAAGCTCAAAAACTCAGATTTGGCTCAAGGTCCTGGTGCTACTACCATTTCAACTTCAAACACTTGTAAGGCACAGCCACTTACTCTAAAAGAGACTACTGAAAACTTTAAAAGCCCACCAGTGAATAACAAAGAAAATGTACAGTTCAGTGCCCACTTGGAAAATTCAGGCCTTAAGCAGACAGATGTAAATAGTGAGAAAGTCACAAAACACCATCAAAAAACAGGAAGTAAAAATGAAAGAAAGAAAATCAGAAGGACAAGCAAACATCTGTTGACTACCAATGATCAAAATTTATGCAGTAACAAGCATGGAGATCTTTTAGCTTGCAATAGCACACATAATTGCGAGACAGATTGGGATGTAGAAGACATTGAAAATCTTAAAACTGAAGAAGGGGGTGGATTTGTTCCTTTAGATGACAATGCTGATTTTGATAGAAAGCATATAAAAAGTACCAATGATCGAGAAGACTTTATAAACCACTTTGACCCTTCAGTCCAAGGCCAGGCATCAGAAATCATTCACTTTAATGAGGAAGAGGAGGAGGAAGAGGAACCTAGACTCATCATTAACCCAAAAGAAGAAGGTGATGGCATTGGCAATGAAGATGAGTTAGACAACACCTATACTGGATCAGGAGATGAGGATGCTTTATCTGAAGAGGATGATGAATTACTTGATCCTTCTAAATATGAAGATTTAAAAGACTGTGGAAAGCATGTAGATGGAACTCTACTCATAGAGCTTAATAACATAAGTCTCAGAGAAGAAAATATATGTGAGGAAAATTCATCTGTGGATCTATCTGATTTCTTCTATGAATTTAGTAAACTTATCTTCACCAAAGGCAAGGTAACCATTGCCACTAGTAGGAGACATTTTAATGGGCTGGGTGCCAGTGGTTCATGCCTGTAATCCTAACTACTCAGGAGGCTGAGATCTGAGGATCATGGTTCAAAGCCAGCCCAGGCAGGAAAAGTCCATGAGACTCTGATCTCCAATTAATCACCAGAAAACCAGAAGTGATACTGTGGTTCAAGTGGTAGAGTGCTCGCCTTTTGCTGAAGAGCTAAGGGTCAGCACCCAGGCCCAGAGTTCAAGCCCCACAACTAACAAAAAAAATAATAATTTTAATTAATATAATATCAATTTATACTAGAATAGGCTTTTTCCTGTTTTTTCTATTTCTAACTAATCTGAATTTTTTCCTAATATGATCACCCCTCCCCCTTTTAATACTCATGGAAATCTGCATAGGAGGAAGGGAATGGTGACAGTAACTATCCTTTTCTCTTGAGGATATCATAAGTATATCCCCATCTCGAATCATTTGGAATGGTGGCACATTACATTTCATTTCTTTTCAAAATGTGTGCTTAAAAAATAGATTACAGGAAGTGGCGCTGTGGCTCAAGTGCTAGAGCTCTAGCCTTAAGAATAGAGAGGCTCAGGGAGAGTGCCAGGCCCTGAGTTCAAAGCCCATGACCAGAAAAAAAAAATAGATTACATATCTCCCTTTATTTAGTAAATAAATATGCTGTTTAATTTACCATCTTGTTTTGCTTTGCTGTATTAGTCTCCTACAGTCGTTTGCAGCTTATGCAAACGAGAAGGTCATCTAAAAAAGGACTGTCCAGAAGACTTCAAAAGAATCCAGCTGGAACCTTTGCCACCACTAACACCCAAGTTTTCAAATATCTTGGATCAAGTTTGCATTCAGTGTTACAGTAAGTTTTTTTTGGTTTTTGTTTTTGTTTTTGGGTCTGGTCATGGGGCCTAAACTCTGGGCCTGGGCACTGTCCCTCAACAATTCAGCTCAAGGCTAGCGCTCTACCACTTGAGCCACAGCACCACTTCTGGCTTTTTTCTTTTTGCTGATGTGGTGCTGAGGAATTGAACCCAGGGCTTCAGGCATGCAAGGCAAGAGCTCTACCACTGAGCCGCCTTCCCAGCCCTATAGTAAGTTATTTGAGTAAATTATTTATTTGAAGTCTTCAGGGAATAGGTGTTGTGTTAACACTCTAGGTCCAATGTATCTGTTGTATTCTTTGTCTTGTTTGTCCTATTTGGGACACAATACATATTAAAGAAAGAGAGGGGAAAAAAATAAAGAGAGGAAAGAAGAGAGTATCTTTTAATAAAATACCCCCACCCCCCGCTCTATTTCTTGGCCATATTGGATTTGAACTCAGCACCTCATACTTGCTAGTCAAGCACTGAACTAGAGCCATCCCCTACTCTTTCTTTTAATGTTTACTCTAGTATTGGGAATCAAACTAAGGGCCTTATACACATTCAGTGTGATCTACCACTGAGCAGCATCCCAGTTCCTCTTACGTCTCCCATTTTCTACCTTGTATTCCTTGAAATGTTTTTCTAGATACATTTAGTAGCACAAGCAGTATTCCCAGGCTAATAGGAAGTAACTCATACTCCTCGCTTCTCTTATTGGAAGTAAATCTCCCTTGAGATCTATTCACTAAGATTTGTTTTATGTGCCAAGACCATCTATTTTGGAGAAAGTTTCTTGTGCTGCTGAGAATGTGTTGTAGAACTGCTAGGGGAGAAACTGTAGGTGTCTCTTAAAAATATATTTGACCTACAGTGACATTTATTTTTGAGATTTTCTTCTTGATGTTTTGTTTGGATTATCTACCTATTGGTGAGATTGGGTTATGGAAATTTCAGTATCACTATGCTGTGATTTATCAGTGCTTGTATGCGCCAAAGTGTTGACTTAATGATTAGTTTCCATTCCAATTGAAGTTCTTGATAATATTTGAAGGCAGGAGGAAGGAGTCATGGGGTTTGAACTCTAGTCCTGGGTGCTTTCCCTGAGCTCTTCAGCTCAAGGTGAGCCCAGCACCACTCCCAGTTTTCTGGTGGTTAATTAGAGATAGGAGTCTCAGGGACATTCCTGCCAGGGCTGGCTTTGAACCATGATCCTTAGATCTCTCCTACGTAGCTAGGTGTTGGGTCTTTGCCATCCTGTGGAAGATTGACAGGTCCGAGGAAAGGTAAGTGCGTGGCTTGCCCTTTCCCAGCTCCCTTAGCCCTGGAGACAATCCGAAGCAGCAGGGTGTCAAGTCAAGCAAGAACTCCTTTATTACCACACAGCAAGCACCTTTTAAAGTAAAAAACCAGGCAGCATTAAAGGGCAGGAAAAGGAACCAACCAGTCACTGTAAACCTATCATGAGCCTACGCTTTATCCAATCAGATTTTAACTACCCACTCAACTTCCTCTCACTGCCATCTTTGCTGCCCATGTGCCCCACAGCTAGGATTACAGGCATGAGCCACCAATACCCAGTGATAAAACTTTTTTTTAAGTCAGTATTTATTTTATATTGCTAATGATCTCTGCTAAGAAGGCCCAAAACTTTTTGTTTTCAAAATATTAAGAACTTTTTTGTTACTTTTAAGTAATTGTATAAAGAGGTTTCAGTTCAACATATTGGTTTATGTGTACAGTGCATCTTGGTTTGAGTCATTCCTTCCATCATTCTTCACCAATACATCCTCTCAAGTATCTTAGTCCATTTTCACATATATGCGTTAAATATTATTACGGTATTTGCCACCATTCCTCTCTCCCATTTGTCCATCTTCCTTCTCTAACTCCCATGTCTCTCAAACAATACATGTTTCTGCTTAGTAGTATCCATTTTGTTAAATTGTTAGTTGTTCAAATAAGTTATACTATTGAAATCTGCCCCGTTGTATACTATACTTTAGTCAGTTTGATCATAGATATTTACATATAGCACCATATGTTAATTGTACAAAGGAATTACACTATTGGAATCTTCTATTGTGTATATCATACTTTTATCAATTTGTTGGTGGATATGTGTTACAGACCTGTATATAGTTTTATATATGAAAAAAATGTGCCCTTTATCTCTCTGAGCCTGACTTTACTAAGCATAATTTTTCCCAGTTCATCTGTTTTCCTGCAATGACATTGTATTATTCTTCCTGATGAATGAATAATACCATTGTATATGTCTATATTTCTTGATCTTTTTTTAAATTGTTATTAGAAAGATGATGTACAGAGAAGTTATAGTTTCTTAAGTCAGGTAAACAGTATGTTTCTAGGGGCTGGGAAGGTGGTTCAGTGGTAGAGCACTTGCCTTGCATACATGAGGCCCTGAGTTCGATTCCTCAGCACCACATAAGCAAAAAGAAAAAAAGCCAGAAGTGGTGCTGTGGCTCAAGTGGTAGAACGCAAGCCTTGAGCTGAAGAGCTGAGGGACAGTGCCCAGGCCTAGAGTTCAGGCCCCACGACGGGACCCAAAAAAAAAAGAGTATGTTTCTTTTTGGACAATGTTGGCTCTTATTTTTCTCTCCCAGTTTTCCTTTCCTATTCCCACCTACAAATTGTATAGTTCATTTTCAACATAGTGTCTAGTGAATACCACTGCTGCCTTTGTTAATAACCCTTTTTTTCCTCCATTTCTGTGTCTCCCCTTTCCCTCCCAAAGACAGATACATAAACAAACAAGATAAAAAGATAACAAAGAAAAAAACTTCTTGTTTCCATCTCCTAGAGTTCATTTTCTTGATCCATTTGTTGTTCAATTGTAGGGCATCTGGTCTGTTTCTATAACTTGGCTATAGTGAATAGTGCAGTGGTGAACATAGGTATGCAGGTGTCTATTAAAGTCTGACTTGGCAATCTTTTAGATAAAAGTCAAGAGTGGTATCACTGGATCATTCTGTTTATTGTTTTTTGAGGAATCTCTATATTGCCTTCCTTAGTTGCTTTCCTAGTTTACATTCCCACCAATAGCATAAGGTTTTTCTTCTTACATCCTCACATTTGTTATTTGTATTCTTGATGATGGACATTCTTACTGGAATGAGATGGAATGTTATTGTTGTTATGATTTGCATTTCCTTTATGTCCAGAGATGTTGACCATTTCTTTATGTATTTTATTTATTGGCCATTTTTACTTCTGCTTCTGAAGTGTTTGTTTAGTATTTGCCCATTCAGTAATTAGTTTATTGATTCTTTGGGGGTTTAGTTTTTTGAGCTCCTTGTATATTTTAGTTATAGTAGACTCCTATCAGATATATAGTTGACAGAGACCTCCCATTCTGTAAGTTGTCATTTTAACATATTTCTGAAGATTTTTTTATTCATTTTGGAGATTGTAAGTTTTATTTTTTAAAAAGCATTTTTCATCTTTTTCAAACAAATAATAGTTTGGCTTTTTTTTCCTTTTCTTCAACTTGTCTATCTTAGAGGATTTTTCTCCAACTGTTTTAGAAGATCAGGCTCGTGAGCATATTCGGCAAAATTTAGAAAGTTTCATAAAGCAGGATTTTCCAGGTAAGTAGCTTTAAAAAAATAATTAGTTTATTCATTGTGCTGCTAATGGGCCTTAAATTCAAAGTCATGTTTTTTCTCAGCTTTTTCACTCAGAGCTGCTGGTATACTGCTACTTAAATCACTAGCCTGCAGTATGGCTTTTTGCTGGTTACTTAGAAATATGAGTCTCGTGGCTAGCTCAGTGACGATCCCAGATTTCAGTCTATTGAGTACAATTATAGGTGTGAGCCACTAGTGTCTGGCCCATTATTATATGTATTAGAAGAACATTAATTTTGACAGTAACAACCTTAAGATGATTATCGGATCAAAACTTTGTTTTGTGATGCTACCAAGAATAAACTTTGATCTATCAAATCGCTGTTTAAGAAAACACATTAACATGCTAGGACGTTGCTCACAACAGATACCACAAGTGAATTTCATTTTGAATGATTGTTAAAATTCCTAATATTTAAGCTATATATTCATTTAGAAAACCACAACCTTAAATTACTAAACATTGAGACCCAAATATTTCTTGAAATATCTTGAATTTTAGAATAAAGTGGAACTGGTAGTGTTTAATGTCATATTTAGCTTGTATTTGAATATAAACTTTGAGAGAAAAATGCATAATCTAGAATCAATGGTTACCTAGTGAGAAAACTCAACTATCAGAACAGATAGTTTATAACTGGGTACTTTTGAGTCATTATTGTGTTATTTCAATATAATTAATACTTTATATCTACAACAGGAACTAAACTGAGTTTGTTTGGCTCCTCTAAAAATGGATTTGGTTTCAAACAGAGTGACCTTGATGTCTGTATGACAATTAATGGACATGAAACTGCTGAGGTACAGTAACCATATAAAACTTTCATTTGCTGTGTTACTGTGATTTGGCCCACACTGCTTGCTATTTTCCATTTAATCAAGGCTTGACATACTTGGGTACATTAAAAAACTTGGAAAGCCGGGCACTGGTGGCTCATGCCTAAAATCCTAGCTACTCAGGAGGCTGAGATCTGAGGATCATGATTCAAAGTCAGCCCAGGCAGGAAAGAGACTCGGATCTCCAATAAACCACCAGAAAACCAGAAATGGCGCTTTGACTCAAGTGGTAGAGTGCTCGCCTTGAGCTGAAGAGCTGAGGGACAAAGCCCAGGCCCAGAGTTCAAGCTCCACTAATGACAAAACAAAACAAAACAGAAAAAACCTTAAAAGTAGAAAGCCAGGCATGGTAGCTCATGCCTGTAATCCTATCTTCTCAGGAGGCTGAGATCTGAGGATCACAATTCAAAGCTAGCCTGGGCAGGAAATACCATAAGACTTTTATCTTCAATAAACCACTCAGAAAATAGGAAGTGTCGCTGTGACTCAAAGCACTCACTTTGAGCTAAAGAGCTGAGGGATAGGGCCCAGACCCAGACAAGAAAATAAATAAATATAAAATAAAATAGAAAGTAAACATAAAAAAACCTGAATTTGAGACAAACTTCACATCATCAATATAAAATAAAGATATTTTCTGATCCTCTTGCTTCAGATTTTTGTGCATATTAACTTGGGTTGTGGATAGCAAGAGCAAACCATGGTTCTTGGCACAGTCTGGTTTTGTAAATACTGTTTTATTAGAACAGTCATGCTCTTTCCTTTATGTATTATATATGGTTCTTGTCTCTCTATGACTGCAAGCTATAGTAGTTGTAACAGAAGTCAATGGCCCACAAAAAGGAACAATTCTGTCAGGTTCTGATATGTTTGAAGGCATTATAAAGCATAAAGTCCGTATACAGGTAACCTTGAGAAGTGCTGAATCCTACCTACCCCCCTTGGTTTCCTCCCACCTCTTTTTTTTTTCTTTCTATATTTGTGTACTCCTGAGCTACATCCCAGCTCTCTTTTAGTATTTTCAGCAGTAGTCCAAATGCTGTATATCAAAACGAATGCTCCTGCTATAGATTTCAAGAGCCTTTTATGTTTTAGTTTTGCTGTTGTTGTTGTTGTTGTTGTTTTCCTTCATGGGGCTTGAACTCTGAGTCTGGGCACTATCCCTCAGTTCTTCAGCTCAAGTCCAGTGCTCTACCACATGAGACACAGCACCACTTCTGGTTTTCTAGTGGTTAATTGGAGATAAGTGTCTCACGGACTTTCCTGCCTGGACTGGCTTTGAACCACGTTCCTCAGCTCTCTGCCTCCTAAGTAGCTAGGATTACAGGCATGAACTACCAGTGCCTGGCCTATGCTTTAGTTTTGAGTCTGCATTTCTGATTTGGAAAATATCCAAAAGTGATCTACCCAGAATTTAGTGAATAATGTGAATCCTACGAGAATTTACCATTGTTTTCTATGGTAGATAAAACCTTGCTTATGTATTTTTATGAATTTTTTTCATGTGGTTATAGTTTTTTTTTTAGGGAATTCCTAAGAAAGAATTAAAGTGTGTTCTGTGATGTGTATAACCATCAAAAGGATTTTTAACAAAGGAAGAGGTAGCAATGCTCAATAGGAAATGTACTCATTACTCATGTAACTGTAACCCCTCTCTACAGTATTTTTACAATGAAAATATATATAGAAAAAAGGGTTTTTATTCTACATATGATTTATTTAAGACATTATTTATAGTTGCTATATGGTTTTATTTGTTCATTATAATTCCAGCTAGGCCTATGGTGAAATACTATATTCAGCAAGAAAGACATCAACTGTTAATGAATAAAATGGGGCACCGAGCCTCCCCCCACCACCATTCCATATATCTTCTGCACATACATAGCAAAAGAACGATGATCTTCATCCACAGTTCACAGACCATTCTGGAAATTCTTCATTTGTGGGCTGTTTGTTGTTATACTTCCAAAAATGATGAGTTTATAGAATATTTGGCAGTTTTCAGATATTTCCTATGAAAACTGCCTCTGATATTCTTCTGAAAGAGAAAAAAACACACATTTTATATATATATATATATATATATTATATGTGTGTGTGTGGAAATTATATATTTACAGAATTTTTCCTATTTTCAGTATTTTCAATGTCATATGCATGTATATTGTATATATAGAGTACATGATTTAAATTTTAAAATATTAATTTAAAATTTTATTTCAGAACTTTAAATTTTATTATTTGTGAGTGTAATATAAATTTAGAACAGTTTAGGAACCCATATTCTAACTTGATTCAGTAGTTTGTGCCATCTTTATTGTAGGGGTTGGACTGTGTGAGAACTATTGAAGAATTGGCAAGAGTCCTCAGAAAACATTCAGGTATATTTATTTTTTGATTTTTGTTTCTTTGTTTGAGGATGTTGTAAATCCTAGGCTTATCTTGAACTTGTAATCCTCCTACCTCAGTCTTCCAAGTAGTTGTTATTGGTATATGCTGCTGTGCTCAGCTATTTTTTTTTTGCATATTTTTGTAGTTAATTGTGGCTTACTTGTAGAATATTTGCAATATTAGTGTCATTAAATAACTTTGTATGGGGCTGGAGGTATGGCTAGAACAACTGCCTACCATGTGTAGGACCTCAAAAGTTTAACTCTAGTATTGAAAATAAAATCAACTTGGTGTGGTTGAGGAATTAGTGAAAATTTGTGTGTGTGTTATTGCCTAGGTGTTTTATTTCCAGATAGTCCATATACCAGACAGGCAAGAAATTTGGAGAATAATTTTACATTACTGGCATTATATAATTTAAAGCCTACCTGTTGATAAGGCATTGTATTAATCAAAAGTCTGTGTGTTGATAAATACATTCCCTTGTCTGACAATGTATTTAACATACATTGTTCACCAGGGCGTATAATTATGACCAAATCACTTAATTTTGTTTGATCTCTTTTCTACTGAAATTTAAGAAAATTGAACTGGGTTATTTCTAAAGTATTTTTGATCTCTTTTCTACTGAAATTTAAGAAAATTGAACTGGGTTATTTCTAAAGTATTTACAACTATAAAATTATATATTCTATAAGTTGTATACAAAAGTGAAATAACATTTTTTTACTGTCAAAAGGCAGCTTTGGATTTTGTTAACAGTGAAATCTTTTAAATGTGATTTAATTTAATGTGGTGAGCATGAAGTTGAATACAAAATGGTCTGTGTATTCTTGTTTTTGATCTCAGTATCTGTCTCCTAACTCATTCTAACATACACAGAATTTCTTTCAGTGCAAAAATTTACTTGGCTGGGGTGCTGGTGGCTCATGCCTGAAATTCGAGTTAGTTAAAAGCCTAGTAGAAGCAGAAAAAGTTTGTGTGGCTCCATCTCCAATTAGCCAGCAAAATGCTGGACAGAAGGAGCCGTTCATGTGATGACTGCCAGGCACAAGAAAACTGAGTTCAGGCCCCACAACTGGAAAAAAAAAAAAGGAGGGAGAGAAAAGAAAAAGAAATGACTAATAATGGTGAAATGCAGGTTAAATAGTATAAAAATTAATAACAAGGTTGTGTTTAAACTTAATATCATTAAAGACATTTAACTGAGTGCTAATTAGGTGCTCAGTTGTCTGTTAGATGACAAACACAAAATCTCTGCCTTTCTTCTGACAACTTAGAGAATTAAGTTTTAAGAGATGTAAAATTATCCCATGAACTATGTACCAATGTAATATAGTGAGTATTTATAGTAAGTATATATAGTGAGTATATTTAGTGAGAATGTAGTTTATATATGTGTGTGTATATATATAGTGTAGTATATACAATGAGTATATATGCTATGTGTATATAGCATATATAGTATATATAATGAGTGAGTATATATGCATATATGTGTGTGTATATATATATACATATATATATATGTATATATATATACATATGTGTGTATATATATATATATACACATATATATATATATGTGTATATATATAGTAAATACCTTAAATTTTTTTGAGAGATAGTGGGAGAAATTGTTGCTTGGGTAATTCATGAGCTAGGTGTGTTACACGCTCAGACAATGATGACAATTCTTTGAAGAGGGTAGGAAGAGGAGTCTTTTCAAAATTACATAGATGTGAGCATGAGAATTACTGGAGTGCATTTTTGAGGATAGCAGGATGATTTGTTACATTTGGAGAGGAGTTTAAAGTAAAAACTTGTAGGAATTAGGTAAAAGCTTTATATATTTGGGACCCATATTTTTTTCCCATGAAACATCCAGTATAGGTAAGATACTACCTTTTTTTCTTAATATAATTTGCTCTTACTTGGGTGTCGTACAGAGGGATTGCCATTTCAGAAGTCAGGTAATGAGTACATTTTTGTTTTGGACAAGGCTACCCCCCTTTCTTCACTTTCCCACTCCTGTCGCAGCCCACCAGTTACACAGGTCATTTTCCAGCACAGTATACACTGAATAGCAAAATTCCAGCACCTGCCTTTTTTCGGGGGGTGAGGGAGTGGGGAGTCTGTCATTGGGCTTAAACTCTGGGCCTGGGTACTGTCCCTCAGCTCTTCAGCTTATGGCGAGCACTGTATCACTTGTGCCGTAGCATCTCTTCCGGCTTTTTCTGCTTATGTGGTGCTGAGGAATCGAACCCAGGGCCTCATGCATTTGCGAGGCAAGGCAAGCAATCTACCACTGACTCACCTTCCCAGCCCAAGATACTACCTTTTTTAAGGCAACTTTGTAATCTCTCTTAAGGAAGGTGTAATCTGGGTGACAGGATAGATAATCTCTCCAAAAGTGATTCCAGAAGTGGGGGGGGGGAACTAACTTGGTACCTAGAACTGTGAAGAAAGGGTTCCAGGTGATGTCTTAGCACTTAGGAAATATGAATGTTTGCAGTGAATACTTCTGTGGGAGGGGCTTACATGGTATCATCTTCTAACAAGCAATTAGAAATGTATGCAGTTGTCAATCAAATTGGAGTTGTTTGTTGTCGTCGTTGTTGTTGTTGTTTTACCAGTTCTGGGCTTGAATTGAGGGTTTCAGGCACATTCAGTTTTCTTGTGCCTGGCAGTCATCACATGAACGGCTCCTTCTGTCCAGCATTTTGCTGGCTAATTGGAGATGGAGTCACACAAACTTTTCTGCTTCTACTAGGCTTTTAACTAACTCGGATTTCAGACATGGGCCACCAGCACCCCAGCCAAGTAAATTTTTGCACTGAAAGAAATTCTGTGTATGTTAGAATGAGTTAGGAGACAGATACTGAGATCAAAAACAAGAATACAGTAAAAATCATTTGAGAAAAGTTGAAAAATTGAAGGAAGAGGGTAGAAATTCAAGACATAAAGGAAATCTTTGAAATTACAAAATGATACCAGGATGATGTGCTGAAAATAAATTATAGAGAACAGATTGTATGTACTAATTATGGTCAATAGTTTCAAATTTCTAATTGAAAAAGAAAGAAAAACATCTCATTTTAAGGCAGTACAGCAAAACAGTTGATGGAAGTTCTAAAATCTTATTCTCGGGCTTTAAATTTTGACTCCCCACTTTCTACCTGTGTGATCGCAGAGCATCACTTGTTAACATGTGATACCTCATCTTCCAAGTGGAAATAACAGCACTATCATTTGAGATTTTAAAAAGACCATACATTCAAGTGTTGGTCCTAGCATATCCTAAATATGTGCTAAATATGAGCTTCTTTGCTCCTATTCCCAACCCTTTTAAGCTAAATTTACTGTATGTCTTACACAGATCATATTCTTGAAACATTTCTATTTTATTTATTTATTTTTGTCGGTCATGGGGCTTGAACTTGGAGCTTGAGCGCTGTCCCTCAGCTCTTCAGCTCAAGGTGAGCACTCTACTGCTTGAGCCACAGCATTACTTCCGGTTTTCTGAGTTGTTTATTGGAGATAAGAGTCACAGACTTTGTGCCCAGGCTGGCTTTGAACCACCATCCTCAGATCTCAGCCTGCTGAGTAGCTAGGATTACAGGCGAGAGCCACTGACGCCCAGTGAAACATTTCTATTATTTACACTCTTTTCCCAGATTACATATGTGATCAAAATGTATCTGACTTCCTGACATCACTACTCTCTCAGAAGAAACACAAACTGATAACTCAGATGAACTTGTTTTCTTTACCACTTCCTTTTTGCTTCAACTACCATCACTACCTGCCCTACCTTCTGAGTCCTTTCTGTAGTTTGTTGACAGTTTATATCCATAAATCATCAGAATCAGTGAAATGATCCTTAGCTGAGCTAATCAGTTCAATAGAAGTTTGGAGTCAGTCTTGACTCACTTGAATTCTGGTTTCCCAATTTACCAACTGTGTATTCCTAAGTGAATTTCTGTAAGCCTCTGTTTCCTCTTTAATAAGGTAAGAATGATAGATCTTAGGACAAATGTGTGTAGAGTACCTTAAAATAACCCTGTCATACAGTAGGTGCTCAGAAAATAGTAGCTCTTAACTGTTAATAGCTCTCCTGTACTTGTATCCCCTCCTCCCATCCAATATAGGTCTCTACAGCATGTCTTGCTTCATATCTGGCATTCCTGTTCCATGAAAGTTCAGTCCCAGACGTTTTTTTAAGTGATCCATTTCTGTGTCTCCAGTCTGTCCACTGCCAGGATATTGCTTAAGTAGATGTGGCCAGTGATTCTTCCTGACTTATGCCTTGATATTCGTGTTCTAGGATAGATCTCAGAGGATATGTAGGCTCTCTATTTGAGTCTTTCTCCACCTCTTGTCCCTCTTATTGCATTCTTTCAGTTCTATACTACAGCCTACACAATTCCATGGAAGGGCCCTAAACAGTATCTAAAATCTTTGTATACAATTATCACAACTTTGCTGGTTTTATATTTTTTTCAAAGCCTCGCTCTGATAATTTCCTTCTTCTCTGTCAAACTTTATTCCTTTATAACCTTCCTAATTTCAAGAGCCTTGGTGAGTAACTTCTGTATTGAGAATGTGTAGACTTTTCTCCAGATTACATATGGTCACATGGAGAGTGAGTAGGACTCACATGTTCATAGTCTGTATTAGCTTCATCTGTTCTGGTGTTTGTCAAATAATCATCCTATACTCACACATATGTTCTGGAGGACCGTTAGCCGCCTTTTATTATTCTTGTGATTCAAATTTCAATGTGTTTCATAGAAGTTTTTCAAATGATGGCACTAATAAGCAGAGTAAAACAAGCCAAAATTAAAGTATATTATTTTAAATTGGAGTATAAGAATTGTTATTCACAATTGCCGTATTTAATCTTACTGTATTTATTTCCAACCTAGGATTAAGAAACATCTTACCTATTACAACAGCAAAAGTGCCAATTGTGAAGTTTTTTCACTTGAGAAGTGGTCTGGAAGTGGATATCAGTTTGTATAACACATTGGTAAGAGTTTTGCATTGTTTTTGTTTGTATGGTCAAGATATGACCATATAGACTCCACTGGCATCGACTTTTCAGTTCCCTCCAAAGTGCTGAAATTATAGCTATGTACCACCATGCCAAAGTCTTCTTTAGGTTCCTCTTTGGGAAAATTAAGGGGAATGAATGTCATTTATGAAGTCAAATCTTTAAGACAAGGTTTGTAAAAAAGAAAGGAAGAAAGGATTACACACAAATACACACACATACCCACACACATTTCTGATCACCTGTGTCTCATGTCTTATTCTAGCTACTCTGGAGTCAGAACAGGAAGACTGTAGTTCCAGGCTAGCCCAGGGTATGGCAGTTCATAACTGTTACCCTAGCTACAGCAGAAAGCATAAATAGGAGGATCACAGTCCAGGCCCCACTTAGGCCAAAATCAATACTCTGTTTAACAAATACCTAGAGCAAAAAAGCTGGAAGTGTGACTCAAGTGGCAGAGTTCCTACCTAGCAAGTGAGAAGCCTTGAATACAAACCTCAATATGGTATATGTGTATGTATGTGTATTCATTTTGTTTTGTTTTGTTTTTGCCAGTGCTGGGGCTTGAACTCAAGGACACTTACTTGCCTTGCTTACTCTCAGTTAGCACTCTACCACTTGAGCCTCCAGCCCTGCTTTTTACTGGCTAATTAGCAATAGAATCTGTTCGACTTTTCTACTTAGGCTGGCTTCAAACCTACATTCTCTAGAGGTCAGCCTTCTGAGTGCTTAGGATTATAGGTGTGAGATATCAGCATACATATATATAAAGTCAGCCCTCAACTGAAGGCTTTTTTTTTAAGTTTTTTGAATAAAAGCATAATTTAAATGATATATGTGGTTTATTTCACTCAGTGTTTCAACATTTATTTATGCATACTTGTTTGTGCTTGGTAATGTTCTGAGGCTGGGGATAAAAATCAGTTAATATCAATATCCACTCTGGCTACAGATATAGCTGTAGGGTACTTGATCAGTATGTGTGAAGCATTGAGTTACACTCCTTTAAACCATATATATATATACATACATATATAGTGTATGTGTGTGTATATATATATATAGTGTGTGTGTATATAATATTAAAACAATATTTAATTATGTTAGCACTCACATAAAATGATATAGCAAGCTATTTTGATTGTCATAAACTTTGCAATAACTTGAGAATAGGCTGTGTCATTGGATATACTTGTGTACCTACAGATGGGCACTGCTCAATCCAGATGCTTCCACCTCTCTTGTTCTCACACTTGCTTTACTCATGTTCTTAGGGGATTGATCCCTGTTGCTCGTAAGAACCTTCTATTAAAATTATGCCATGGAGACATGGAAGAGAGGGAATCTTATATCTACTTAAAAAAAAACAATTGTTTATTTTAATTTCTCTTCCTCTAGATGTTCAGACCACAAATAGAGTTCATAAGGTCAGATATTACTACAGATAATTTTATTATCTAGCAAGTGAATAGAGCTTGTCCTTGGAAAGAAAAGGTTAAATTAAATCAAAATGTCTTTTGTTAGTTTCTTTTTTGTGCTAATATTGGAGTTTGAGCTCAGGGTCTGGGTATTATCCCTTAGCTTTTTTCACTTAAGGTTAGTGCTCTAACCCTTAAATAACATCTCCATTTCTGTCTTTTTGGTGGTTTGTTGTAAATTAAGAGTCTCAAGGACTTTCTTACTTGGTCTAGAACCAAGATCTTCAGATCTTAGCTTGCTGAGTAGCTAGCATTGCAGGAGTTGAGCCACTGGCACATGGCTCTTAATGACTTTTTAAAATAATCACATTGCAAACCTTTCCAGTGTAACTTTTTTTCATCTAATTTATAGCCTTATAGTACAATTTCCCTTTTTAACAGGCCCTTCATAACACACGGCTTTTATCTGCTTACTCAGCCATTGATCCCAGAGTGAAATATTTGTGCTATACCATGAAAGTATTTACAAAGGTGAGTGTGCTTTTTCTTTTGATTTATCAGGATGTTTCATTGCATCTTCACACCTTATTTACAACATAATTCTGTTTTCATAATGTACCATAGACATGTCAGTGCTTCCTAGGACTACTTGAGGAGTCCTTTCCAGAAGCCAAAATTCGGTTCTATGAAATTTTACAGGATAATTTGTATGTCTGATAGTCCACTATTTTGTTGGCTTTAGTATGGTTGGTTTGAATTGATTGATTTTGTCAAAATATTTTAACCATTGAAAATAAGAGTGTCTGTCACATTAGTTTCTCAAATAAGTTGCTTTACTTTTATGATAATTGGAGGACTACAAGAATAGCAAAATCCATAGGGAACTTTTCAGTTATTCTTTGTTTTCTTTTTCTAGATGTGCGATATTGGTGATGCATCTAGGGGTAGTTTATCATCATATGCATACACTCTTATGGTGCTGTATTTCCTCCAGCAGAGGAATCCACCAGTTATTCCTGTCCTTCAAGAGGTATTTTTTAAAGAAATTACATTTCTCTTCTATAAAGCAGGGTTATTTCTGAGCCTTCTCCTCTCTCCAAAATTTTGGAGTTATTTAGTTAAATGTTTAAATATTTTCCTAGAAGATTTTTATTCAATGCAATAAATTTTTAACCCTCAATAATAGTTCAAAATTTAATTTCAGATATACAAAGGTGAAAAGAAACCTGAAATATTTGTTGATGGCTGGAATATTTATTTTTTTGATCAAATAGATGAGCTGGTATGTATTTTAAAAGTAAAAATTTCCTATATTACTGTCTAAAAGTTACCTGCAGTATACTGTACAGGGTCAATAACAGTATTATTGTCGGTTATATTTATTTATATTATTTTAATTTTAAAAATTATCATTTACTGATGTTTCCTTTGTGAGCTGAGGATGTGGCTTGACAGCAGAGCACTTAGGTCTGGCAGGTGCCTAAAGCATGGGGCTCCATCCCTTACACTGCAAGTATTAGGTATTTCTTTTGAAATGGCAATATTTCTGTTAAGCCAAATGAGTTTGCAGGCAGTCTGTCCAGAATTTCTTTAACATTTTAATTCTGAATAGCTAAGTAACTTTATTCCAGAGGAACAAATATTTGCTGTATGTTTTTTGAATTATGGAGATTTAATGGGCCCATCATCACCAGGGCTCTTAGAATTTTCTTCTGGATTCTCCCACTTACATGTTACGGTATTTGTCACTTAAAACTGACATTTTCCTATCTTCAAATAAAAGGGTAGAGATGAATAACTGATATAAATAGCAATTTAAAATATGAAAGTGATATATGCTTTTATTCTTACATATTTAAACTTCAGTTGATTAGAAATAAGTCCAAATCTTCTCACTAAGATACACGTCAATAATTGTTTTTAGCAATTTTCTCTCAAGTGTGATATCTCTTGTTTTCTTCTGTTTCCAGCCTAACTATTGGCCAGAATATGGAAAAAATACAGAATCTGTTGGGCAGCTATGGCTGGGACTTCTTCGTTTCTATACAGAGGATTTTGATTTTAAAGAACATGTTATTAGCATCAGGAGAAAAAGTCTGCTTACTACTTTTAAGAAGCAGTGGACTTCAAAATACATTGTTATTGAAGGTACAAATAAAAACTTTCGGTAGAGTTTAGAGTTTGTAGTGACTATATTTTTTTCTCCTAGCAAAGCTCTTCCAGGGCAGCCATTGAGCCTCTGCTAGTGACCCTTCTCTGACTTTTTCATTTCCTGTCTAAATGTTTTATCTTTAAAAGGCTACTGCCTACTGTGGAACCCTCACAGTTGGCAACATCTTTGTTCACCAAGACAAACCTTTTACTCCGATTGGACACATATTTACTGGAGAATAAATTAGCAGTAGCAATAAATCAGTTTTTATATAGATAATAGGACATTTTAGGCCATTCTATGTGAGAGTTAAAGAGTGCCTTCAAGCTTCAAGGATGAGTTTTCAGATGGCCATGGTGGCTTCTTCACCCTGTAATCACAACTACTAGAGGGTTGAAGATCAGAGTTTTTAGTTCAGTCTTGAAAAGAAGTTTGCAAGACTATATTTCAACCAGTGGCTGGATATATGGGTGTGTGCCTGTCATCTTCAGCAACATGGGAAAATGTAAGTAGGAAAATTGCAGCTTAGGTCATCCCAGGCAGAAAGTACAGTCCTCCTCACAAATAACCATAGAAAATAAAGGCTGGAGTATAACTCAAGTAGTAGATTGCCTGCCTAGTACCCAGCCCCGACATGAATGAATTTTCAGGTTCAATGTTTTATATTAATGCAGCATTTACCTTTAAATGATTACATATAAATATTGACTTTTTTTTCCGAAAGTTCAATAAACTGAACATTGTTATTTTTTCCCGTGTTGGGGATTGAATCCAGGGCCCTATGTCTACTTAACAGAAGCTACATGCTCAGCTTTGGTCCTTGTTTCTGGAACAAACAATAGCATTTTCACACTGTCTTCCAGTGTCTTTGCATCGTATTTATGAAGTTAGGATATCATTTATAAATTCATTGTTAAAACTCTAACAACCTGCTCCCATGCCCTGGTTTAGGCATGGGAAATAAAGACATAGTAACAGCTTCTGCCTTCCAGACTTTAGCAGTCTGTGAACAGACTGAATGGGATTGCCATTCTAAGAGATGGAGATGGATTAGGCACTATGGGATCCCATTGGGTAGGGAGCTGGGGCAGGGGGGGGGAGCATTTACATGGGCAGGGAAGAGTGAATCCTGGAAGGTGAGTTGAGTAGGTAAGAAGCTGAGTTAGTTTTATCATTGCTTTGACAAAGTACCTGAGAAAACTGACTGAAAGAGAAAAAAGGATTTATTTGGCCTCAGGGTTTCGTAAGTTTCAGCCCATCACATTAGGGAGGATATGAGGACTAGAGTAGTTTATACCTTGGTGGAAAGAAAGCAAAAGAAAGAGCTAACACCTGTATTGTCGGGTTTTTTGTTTGTTTGTTTGTTTTTTTGGTCAGTTGTGGGGCTTGAACTCTGGGCCTGGGAGCTGTCCCTCAGCTCTTCAGCTCAAAGCAAGCAAGCAAGCACCCTACTGCTTGAACTACAGTTCCACTTCCAGTTTTCTGGTGGTTTATCTCTAATAGAGCCACTTATTTCTAGTCCTAAGGCTTTTTCTTTTTGTACTGAATTCAAGGACCCATTTGAGTCATGATTGTTTTGAATTTGTGGGATTTTTTCATTGTAATAAGACAAAATTGAGCTTACATACTTTAAAAATGAACAGTGAAATTGCTAAGGAAATACTTTATTGATCTAATAGGATTTATTTTGTTTTTTTAAATATATACATAACACCTAGATGATACATGTTACTCTAAGCTATGTTGACATAATTTTTTTCTACCTGTTAGTATTGTTAAAATACAGAGTTGTGGCAAAATATGGAGTTGTAAACATTTGTAAAATGAAGTCTATAATACCCTTAGCTATAGTTAGGGTTTAACCTTTTAGAAGCTGTATGTCATAAACAGAGAGAATTGAGGGTATTTTGGCATATTATAATTCCAACATTCCAGAGCAGCTATGCTACATAGTAAGAATTTTTTCCTTTAAAAAAAAAAAAAGTCAAGTGGCGCTGTGGCTCAAGTGGTAGAACGGTAGAGTGCTCGCCTTGAGCTGAAGAGCGGAGGGACAGCGCCCAGGCCTAGAGTTCAAGCCCCATGACTGACCAAAAAAACTCAAAATAATGCAGAAGTTTGTTTTTATTCCTTTATTGCTGTAAACTGTTGTGGTCTTCCAGTTGGCTCAATGTTTTATAGAAACTCTGTTGCTTTTCCTTTTATTTTTATATTCATATTCAATTATCAGATGCGCAATTATTAGTAAGTTAACTAGAAATACTTCATTTGTGACTATATAACCAGCTATTCTGGAGTTCAGAAATTTTATTGATAGTAGTCCTAGTGTTTTAAATGTATGACTAATGTTGAAGAATGTATCTTCTGCACTAAATAAAATACCAAAAATACCTACACACACATATGAAAATGAACTAAAGAGCAGGCACTGGTGGCTGATCTCTGTAGTCATAGCTACTCAGGAGGCTAACATCTGAGGATTGTGGTTTGAAGCCACCCAGGCAGAAAAGTCTCCCAGTTAACCAACAAAAAGCCAGAAGTAAAGATGTGGCTCAGGTGGTAGAAAGCTTGCCTTGAGCAAAAATGCTTAGCAACAGTGATCAGGCCTTAAGTTCAAGCCGCAGGTGTGTGCTTACACACCCCCATACACATACCAAAAAAAAAAAAGAAGAATGCAAATAATCACTTTTAGTGATTTATTTAGTGATACATTGTTGTACATGTTTTTGTGACTTCTACATATACCCCAAAGTGGCATTCATCAGGAATTATCAGGTTAATGTGTCTTCCCTACACAGTATTTCTTCCACAGTTAGCTAACGTATAAAACTGTAAAATATTGTGCTCGCTTCGGCAGCACGTATACTAAAATTGGAACGATACAGAGAAGATTAGCATGGCCTCTGCACAAGGATGATACCCAAATTCGTGAAGCTTTCCATATTTTTTAACTACGTGTAGAAAACTAAAGCTAGATCCTTATATATAACCCTGTACCAGAATCAACCCCAAATGGATCAAAAACCTCGGAGTCAAAGCAGACACCCTGAAAACATTACAGGATGGACTAGGAGAAACCCTAGGTCTCCTTGGCACAGGCCAAAATTTTCTTAATACAGACCCAGAAACAAAACAAATCAAGGAAAGGTTGGACAAATGGGATTGCATGAAATTGCAGAGCTTCTGCATGGCAAAGGACATAGCTAGCAAGATCAATAGAAAGCCCACAGATTAAAAAAAAAAAAAAAAAAAGAAAGCCCACAGATTGGGAGATCTTCACTTGCCTTACAACAGACAAGGGTCTCATATCTAAAATATACCTGGAACTCAAAAAATTAAATCCCCCAACAACAAATCTTCAAAGAAACAACTGCCCAATAAATAAGTGGGCTAAAGACTTAAAGAGAAACTTCTCTGAAGAGGAAAGAAGGATGGCCAATAGACACATGAAGAAATGCTCAACCTCTCTAGCCATAAAGGAAATGCAAATCAAAACAACATTGAGATACCACCTCACCCCAGTTAGAATGGCTATAATCAAGAACTCTAACAACAACAGATGCTGGAAGGGATGTGGAGAGAAGGGAACCTTACTGTATTGTTGGTGGGAATGTAAACTTGTTCAACCACTTTGGAAAGTAGTATGGAGGTTCCTCAGAAGACTCCACATAGAGCTCCTCTATGACCCAGCAATCCCACTTTGGAGCATTTACCCAAATGTTCACAAACAAGCTAAAGCTACCAGCACGGCTATGTTTATTGCAGCCTTATTTACCATAGCTAAGATATGAAACCAACCCAGATGCCCCTCCGTAAATGAATGGATCAAGAAAATGTGGTATATATACACAGTGGAATTCTATGCCTCCATCAGAAAGAATGACATTGCCCCATTTGTTAGGAAATGGAAAGACTTGGAAAAAATATATATTAAGTGAAGTAAGCCAGGCTCAAAGAAACATAGGTCCCATGGTTTCCCTTATTTGCAATAACTAGCATATGTCTGAGTCAAGCAGAAAAGGTCAGATAAGTTGATGTTAGGGAAATGAACTGATTGTTTCTAACACATTTATAAGATTATTTCTTTGTTGCTTTGTATGTCCCTCCCCCACAGTATAACCCCTGCTTTCACTGTATTTGATGTTGTTATAATTTGTGGAGGGGAAGGGAAAAAACAAATTGTTTAAATAGGGATACAGGTGGACCCATTGCAACAATGAGACATACAAGTCCTATGTCGAAAAGAACTTTACAAACTTTGGGGGGGAGGGGGGAGGGTTGTGGGGGGTGGGGGAGGGGAGGATGGGATGGGAAGGGGAAACAAAGGAGGAGGCTATAATGCTTGATAAGAAATGTACTCATTATCTTGCCCATGTAATTGTAATCCCTCTGTACAGTATTTGCACAATAAAAAAAACTGTAAAATACTGTATAACTACAAAGCAGTAGTGTCTTGTCTGATTAATAATTTGGGAAAACATTTAACTTTTTATACCTAAGATTATCTGTTTCTTAGCTGTCCTACAGATTTTAAGCTAAACTAAAAGAGTTCTTTAATGTTTTTACTTATTATAAAGTAGGTAAACAGTGGCATTTCCTCTTGATTTTTGCTTTTACTCTTTAATTTTCTTAGATCCCTTTGATTTGAATCATAATCTTGGAGCTGGATTATCAAGGAAAAGTAAGTTACTTTGCTTATAAATTTTAATGCATTCTTTTTTCTTTCTAGACCATTTAATATGTTCCTATTTTTTTCTTCCTAGTGACAAATTTTATAATGAAAGCTTTTATCAATGGTAGAAGAGTATTTGGAATTCCAGTCAAAGGATTTCCAAAGGACTACCCTTCAAAAATGGTAAGCATTTATTAGAAGTGCCCCAAATAGGTGCTAGGAAGGTGGCTCAGTGGTAGAGTGCTTGCCTTGCATGCCTGAGGCCCTGGGTTCGATTCCTCAATACCACATAAGCAGAAAAAGCCAGAAGTGGTGCTGTGGCTCAAGTGGTAGAGCACTAACTAGCTTTGAGCTGAAGAGCTGAGGGACAGTGCCCAGGCCCAGAATCCAGGTCCCAGGACCAACCAAAAAAATAAAATAAAGTGCCCCAAATGATTTTTAAAAGGCTGAAATCCTGGTGAATCTGCCCATAATAAAGCTGGCTATGTTACTTGTTTTTAGCTTTTTGAGATAGGCTCTCACTGTGTAGCTCATGCTTTCTTCAAGTTCGCAATTCTCCTGTTTCAGACTCTTAAGTGTGGGTATTACAGCCATGTGCCCCCTAGTCTCTAAAGACCATTTTAGAAAATGCCCCTGTTAGAATTTATTCATGAGGATGGGGAGAAATAGCAAGAGGAGGAGTTTGTGTGGGAAATTAGTAGTTTTTCTTCTGTTTTTCTTCCTTGGTAGCACAATGTCAAAAAATCCATATTCCTACTCTTAACCCCTGAGGTAACTTTTCAATAGAGAAGACAGATTTATGTTTACTAAGTTGTCAGTGTTCCTGTTGATAACTTCATGGATGGCACTACGGTTCCACCATTCTGCTCCATACCAGCCTCATCTAACCACAAGTGTGTACAAATCTAAGATACTTAGAGTTTGTATGTTACTTTTATAGAATAATAAATTCCCTTGATGAGACTAGAAGAATATCTATGTTGCCTATACTGTGAACTGTCCACTTTCATGTATCTGACACCTGAGCTCCTAAAGAAACTCATTGAAAACAAAATTAAGTCTTAAAAAGTTATTTTAGTGAGAAAAAAAATAGAGACTTTGCTATTTCATTCATAATAAAGTTACTCTTTCTTAGTTACTTTTAATTTAGTTAGTAAAGACTTTTGTGTGTTATTTGGCTGTATTAGGGTTTGAACTCAAGACTTTATGCTTGCCCATTAGATGCTCTGTTACTTGAGCCATGTCTCCTATTTCTTTTTCTTATAGTCATTTATAGTCACAAGTTTTTGTCCCAACTGATCTAAGACTGATTTTTTTCAACCCATGTAATATGTAACTGACCTAAGATGTGATACCCTAGCTGACTTAAGACATGTGATACCCATGTAATAGAGATCACAAACATGGGCTGTTATACTCAACCTTTTTAGGATAGGATCTCTTTGAATTTTTGCCCAGACTTCCTACAAACTTCTGTCCTGAAGATGTCTGTCTCTCACTTGGATGTCCCAGCCAGTCCAACCTAAGGAAGACTTTTCATTAGTACTATTTTTAGTTGACAATCATAATTATATATATATATCGATGAGATACTGTTGAAGTTTTATTTACTCACACATGTATATAACATATGCACATACATAACGTGGATATATATATGGAATGATTAAATAAAACTGATGAATGTACTTTCAGCGCATTTATATATCAATTTTTGTAGAAACATTACTTCCTTAGTTATTTTGAAATATATAATGCATTATTATTGTCAGTAGTTATCTTGCTGTGCAATGGATAGCAGTATTGGTTCATTCCAACCAATAGCTTCCCATTTGCTTCCCTAGTAAAGACTTTTTTGATGAATTTTAACTGAATGGCTATATAGTTACATTAAGCATTTCCCTATATCCGTATGCCTAGTTTATGCTAGATACCTAGTCTTCTATACTAGGGCTGAGTAACTAGTTCAGTTTGCCTGATTGTAGATAAGAGTGTGAGCCCAAAATTCTGCACTCCCAATGAGCTGCCAGGTAATGTTGGTGCTCATGGTCCCTCCTAACTCTTCAGTTTTAGTAGCAAAGAGGTTAGCAGCCTGATTACTGTTTTTCTTTTCAGAGGCCTCAGCAAAACAAATTATTCTCCTTACTGTAAAATTTGCACAATGAACATTTTGTTTCTCATTTCATTAAGTCTTAGCCTTTTGGTTTTATGAGGCCTTTGTACCTTTTTCTTTTTTTTTTTTTTTTGTGGGGGGGGGTCAGTTGTGGGGCCTGAACTCTGGGCCTGGGCACTGTTTCATCACTTCAGCCACAGCGCCACTTCTGGCTTTTTCTGCTTATGTGGTGCTGAGG